ACAGAAAGGTAATATACTATCTACTTTCAAGTTTTGCCTGCATATCATGCAGAACCTTCTGTAAGCCAGGCTTGAGTCTTGTCTCCCTCAGTCAAATGATCATAGTGAGCTCCTCATGAGGCTTTAAGTACAGACTAGTTGTATAGAAGGAGTGGAGGCAATGTGCAATTGAACTATTTCTTCATGTAACTTATTGTACTTTCAGAGTCTGCTCAGGCCTGATTCCCATATATACCAGTTCCATCTGATTGTGGAGCATTGCTGTGCATGCCCAAATTTGGTTTGGTGGATAAGATAACACCCAGTTCATGATGGGCAGGTCAGGTCACATGGTAGCTTGGTGGACCATGGTTAAGCATTTAGTCTCTACTGAGAACCAGTAGAAGGCTCAGAAGTGTTTCTCAGAAGAATAGTTATCTGTGGAGACTTTGCTCAGACATATGAAAGACCTTCTCTACAATTCACCTATGAAGGTCTGCCAAAGGCTCTGACATTTCAAACACTTTTGTATCTGCTGGATCATATGGCCCAAGCAGCAAATCAGTTTATGCAATAGCCTAGACTGTTACAGAGCCTGCTCTTGTTCTGGGCCCCACTCAAAATTATCAGATTTCAGGTCATTCAGTAAATGACAGGAGTACCATGCTCAAATGAGGAATATGTTGTCTTCAAAATCCAGTAAGTCCAACTAGGCATTGTGCCTCTTCTTTTGTTTTATGAGGGGGTCAATTCAAGGATGTATCCTTCACCTTAGAAGAAATATCTCAACATATCCCACATCACTGGACCGCTAAAAATTTCACTAAAGTAGAAAGCCCATGAATTTTTGTTGGATTTATTTTTCATCCTGTGCCACACAAATGTTTTGCCAGTGGGTCTAGAATAATTGCTACTTCTTGCTCACTAGATCAAATCAGCATAATGTCATCAAAATAATGGACCAGTATGATGTCTTTTGGAAGAGAAAAATGATCCAAGTTTCCTACAAACTAAATTGTGACATAGCACTGAAAAGTTGATATACTCCTGAGGTAGCAGAAAGCAAATTGCCTCTTGTAGGTCTAATGGATAGGGATGGAGATAAAGATATTTGCCAGAACAATAGATGCATACCAGGTACTAAGGAATATGCTAATTTACTCAAGCAATAAAACCATACCTGGTACAGAACCTACAATTGGACTTACCACCTGACTATTCTCCAAGATACGTATGTCTACTACACAGGCCAAATAGGCTAGTTGAATGGGGAATGTGTTAGAAATGATCACGTCAACATCTTTTAAGTTCTTGATGATGGTACTTATCTATGCAGTCCCTCTAAGAACACAGTATTGATTTGGCTTACCATTTACCTAAGTAGAGGCAATTCTGCTGTCTTGCACTTGGCCTTTCCCAACATAATACACTTCACTCTACAGGTCAGGGAGCCAATGTAGGGATTCTGTCAGTTTCTAAGTATGTCTTCTCCTATTATACATTCTAGACACTGGGAAAATATCCATAAAAGCATTGGGTACCCATTATACACACTGTGGGTCAGACCAGAGCTAAAAACCTCATTGATTGCCTGACCTCCATAAATTCCAACTCTGACTGGTGAACCATACTGAAGTTTTAGGTCTCCTGGAATTAATTCAGAGCCAGTATCCAGTATTCTTCTAAAGGGCTGTTTATTTCCTTTTCCTTAAGGCAAAATTACCTTGATAAAAGACCAGAAGTACTTTTGGTGAAGGCTGGGCAAAAGATTAACAGTGTAAAGTTTTAGTAGTTTTGGAAACATCCTGAGGTCTTTCCTCAAGCGATCTGATCTCCACTTCACTCAAGGCATTTTGGGCATGTAAACTGGCTTAAGTCTGGGAGTTCAGTGAGGAGTCATGACTGTTTTTAGGATTGAGATTACACTTTCATTGACTTGACTGTTATCAGTCACTTTCCCATCACTAGGACAAAATACCCAACACCCAGAACTTAAAGGAGCAGAGGTTTATTTTGGCTCATAGTTTCAGTGGATTCAGCCCATGGTTGGCTGGCTCTAAGGCAAAAACAGTGTGGTAGAATGGCATGAAAGAGAAAAGCTGTTCACCACATAGCTGCTAGGAAACAAAGAAGGGAGAAGCTGGGAGCAGAAATACACCCTTCAAAGTCATGCCCCCAGTGACCTAAATCTTCCCACCAGTTTCCACCTCTGAATGTGATACTTTGGGGACATTTTACAGTTAAACTATAACCTAGAACTTTTCTGCATATACAGATCAAGTAAGAACATAGTCATCTTCCCACCTATTTCATTTCTAGAAACACTACGACTAACCAAAGCCATAATTTTGCATGAGTCAGACTATTCTGTCTGCTACTTTGATTCTACTGTCCATAATGATAGCCAGGCCTACCTGACTTTTAGTGGCTGATTGCTACCACTTGGCAGTGTCACCACAGGATCCAATTACACCTACTGCATTTAGCTTTCCTAATTTAGTGACTGTAGTTCCCACTGTGAGATCTGGACTACAGAGAAGAGCAGTCACAGAGCACTTCAAACATGCTGGTGTGGCCTGCACAAATTTATTTCTCATAGTATTGGTGAAAAGTTTGTCTTATAAAACCTTTTAATGTAAATGAGTAGGTCTTAAATGACAAATTTACCCTAACACTTCAATCTCTTTTAGCCTTGAAGTCCTTCCTCTATGTGGCAGGTGTGGCATTTCCAGTTCATTCACTGTTGGCTACTTTGTGGTCCATGTTTCAACCAACCAAACTGTTAGAGCCTTTTCTGCCTCTTTTAACTCCAGAATGCCTGTTTTGTGGCACCATATCAATATTTTTATATGTATCTAATTTTATATTGTTTCTACAATTATCCTATGTCCTGTTATTCATTCCCACACATATTCCCTGCATTTCTGCCTGTATAAACTACAAAACTCAAGTTGCACCTCCTCATGAGTCACACTTTGTACCTCACCTTTTGGAGCCTGCTAATGCTTCAGTCTAATTATAGGTCTGGAAACAAAGAGGGGTAGGTTTTGAGGAGAATCAGTATTTCCTTGCATGGTAGCCTAAGGTTCCTCTGGCAATGGATGATTAAGCTCTTCAGACAGAAGTGGAGAAGCCAGTAGCAGTGGTGATGAGGAAGCTGCCTCCACTGGGGGTGGGGTGGCCTCTTTCTGAGAAAGTTTATCAAAATTTATGGGCTCTACCTCTCTGGCTTCACCATGGTCTTCCCACACATATCCATCCTAAATTATAGGATATCAGTCATTTCCAATTAGTGCCCTCCCTTTATTTGGGGGGGTTGTTTGGTTTTTGTGGGGTTTTTTTGTTTGGTTGGGGGTTTTTTTGGTACCGGAGAGCGAACTCAGGACCTTGCACTTTTGAGGTGGGCAGCAGAACCACTGAGCAAAATCCCCGGCCCATCCTCTCTTTAATAGTAGAAATCCTACATGACTGGGAGTTTCTTGAATAATTCAGCTACTCCCAGGATGAAATTCTGTGTTTAATTTTTAACAATCTCAATCTTGTGGTTATAAGAGATAAGCATCTTCTCCAGGAGATCATAGAAGCTTTTATGTCATTTATATGGCACCTGAGAAGGGAATTCAAATCCCTGAGCTCATCCTTTTCTTTTGCCACTTTAAGTAGAGTCATTAGTATCTGCAAATCTAATCAGATCAGAGAGCCAATTCACAAACTACAGAATGAATTCAGAAAACTCATCATTAAATTTCTGTTCCTCTGGAACCACTCTGACTGTCAAAATGTGTATCACTCGGGGTTCTCTAAAGAAAAACAATAGGGGATATATTAGCTTAGACAATTATGGAGGCTGAGAAATCCCACTGTCTGCCATCTGTAAGCTGCATTCGCAAGAAAAGTGGTGGTGTAGTCCCAATCTGAGCATAAAGGCCTGCAAATCAGGAGAACCAACAGTGAAAGTTTTAGTCCAAGTCCAAAAACCTGGGAAACAGAGGGCTGATGGTGTAGGTTCCAGTCCAAGTCTGAAGGCCTAAGAACCAGAATTCCTGGTTGTTTAGGTCCCATATAAGGACAAAAGACTGATGTCTCTGCTCATACAGTCATTCTGAAAGAACAAATTATCCTCTTCTCTGCTTTTTTGTTCAAATCCTCTTTAGATTGGTTGAAGCAAACCCACATTGCAGAAGGCAATTTGCTTTTCTGAGTCTACCAATTTATGCCACTTTCCTCTGGAAACACCTTCAAAGATATAGTACACCCAGATATAATGTTTATCCAAATATGAGCAACCACAGTTAAGTTAACACATAAAATTAGCCACCATACCATTCAAAGAGCAAAGTGATGATCATCCCAGGCCAAAGGAACTGGAAGTACAATGGCCCTGAAACCAGAGAAAGCTTGAGAGCAAAGAGGCAGCTAATGTCATTGGAGCATAATAAGTGGAGAGTGGTATAAATTAAGGTTGAAGGGCTAGTCAGAGGCCAGATAATCCAACCATGATGAAGTCTGAATTTTATTGTAAAGATTTTGGAAATCTACTAAGAGTTTTAAGTGGATAGTAATACAGTACAATCTGATTTGCATTTTGACAGATTACTCAGCTGCTCTGTATAGTAGGCATTGTATGGGTGGGCAAGAATGAAGGCAGAGTGATCAATTATACAACTCTTGTAGGTGCCTAGGTGAGAGATAATGATTACTTAAATTATGGCTGCAGCACTGACAGTATCTTTAAAAATGTACTAAAGGTGCCAAACATGCAAATGCCTCTCACTTCCTCCTTGATTCAATTATACCTATATTTTTGGTCACACACTTCCCCACTGGTAGAAATGAACACAAGATTGATCCAACAAGGGAAAAATACATACCGCAATTCTCTTAATTATCTTTTGCTTGCCAACTTGAGATGAAATTTACTACCTTTAGTCAGTATATAGTGAACCATCCACATGCACTAGTAAGATGTAAGGTCTTATTTTGTGCCCTAACAAGTGCTAATCACCTTAATTTTCCTATAGCTGTACGATTCTGTGACCGGTGCCATCTGATCAAGCCAGACCGCTGCCACCACTGCTCTGTCTGTGCCATGTAAGTGACAGACATATTTTCTCTGGGCTTAGTTTGGACATGGATGGTTGCCTAGACAACAAAATGCCTGATCCTAACATGTAACCATGCTATATAAGAACATTTCCTTTTGGTCATGATGAGCACATTCTAAATACTGCCACAGGGAAGATAATGATTTAAGCTGTTCTAAAGATAGAGAAAACCAAGTTTACAAAATAAACTTTTTGTTTTAGAACAGTTTGTAATTTATAGACATACTGTGAAAATACTCATATGTATCACACCCAGTTTCCCCAATTATTATCACCTTCCATTACTATAATCCATTTGTTACAATTAATGAACCAATATTGATACCTTATTTTTTTCAGTTTTACAACTTCTAATAGCTTCCTTTTTTCATTAATTTTATTGATACATGTTAGGTATACAATATGATGACATTCATCATTGGGGATCTGTACCTTTACATGATATATCTTGGTTCTTATTTTTCCCCTTCCCCTGCCCACCCATCATCCCCTCCACCCCTCTCTATTTACAAAGACTTTGTTTCCATTTTTCCCTTTTCTCGAATTTATTCCTTTCCCTTCTTTCCTTTCCCCTACCCCTCCCACTTCCCCTTCAGAAACTGAAAGTGTAAATAAGGATCAAAATATATAATAGAAAATGTGAAATAGGAAGAAAGATGCCTTATTTTTTTAAGTTTAGTTTTCCCCTAATGTCTTTTCTCTGTTTTAGAATCCAATCCAGAATACCACATTACATTTAGTAGTCTCCTTACGTCCTCAAACCTGTGACAATTTATCCAACTTTAACTTAATTTTTATGATCTTGACATTTTTCAGTATTAATAATCAGGCATTATGTAGAATGTCCCTTAACTGGGATTTGTTTGATCCTTTCTCATGATCATTAGACTGGGGTAATGTGATTTGCAGAGAAGACCATAAAGCTAAAGTGCCATTGTCATTACATCATATCAAGGGTAATGCAAAGATGACTTAATCACTGCAATATTAATCTTGATCATCTGGCTCAGATAGTGTTTGTCAAGTTTCTCCACTGTAAAATTATTGCCCCCCCCTTCTGTACCATGCTTTTTGGAAGAAGTCATTGCACAGCCCACACTAAAAGAATATGAAGCTGGCAGTGGTGACGCATGTATGCCTGTAATCCAAGAACTTGGGAAGCTGAGTCAAGAGGATTATCATAAGTTTGAAGACAGCCTGGGCTCCATAGTGAGTTCAAGGCTAGCCTGAACTACATAGTGACATGCTGTCTCAAAAAAAATAAAATAAAATAAAGAAAAGAATGTAAAGTTACATTCCCTCTCCCTAAAGGTGGAGTATCTGCATAAATTATTTGGAATTCTTCTCCATGGGAGATGTATCTCTTCTCCCACATTTATTTATTTATTCAATCATTTATTTATATTAATATGGAGGCATGGATATTCATTTTCTATTTTATGTTATAAATACTGTTTTATATTTTTATTACACTACTTGTTCTACCTTTGAAGCTAGGTTCAGTGGTACATTCCTGTAATACCAGCACTCAGGAGACTGTGGCAGGAGGGTCATGAGTTCAAGACCAGCCTGGGCTACATAGCATGACCCTCTCTAAAACACAGAGCAAAACTGTTCTAGCTTTGTAATACCTCATTTTTATGTTATTTCATATAATCCTCATCCCTTTCTTCTTGAGTGTTTATTCCACTTATATTTCTCTTAACTTTGATTCAAACACAGGCTGTAGCCATATATTTTCTTTTGTATTTTGTTAAACTGACTATTGAAAAAAACTGGAAGAGACATCTCTGTGTTAATATCCTGGAGCTCCTAATCGCTTTTAAAGGCATGTGACTTGCTGCCAGGAAAATCTTGTGAAATATTGTGGTAATTGCCTCGTATTAGGAATAACTGAAGACACAGTAAGTTTGGAGTCAGTATAGTAGACATCTGGGAATGGATTTACTGAAACCATGTAAAAGTGCTAGTGAAAGCTTGAATTAAATCTTAAAGTGTTGCTTAATTTCCATAGCCTCACTCATTGCATATTTTGTTCAATTTATAGGTGTGTTTTAAAAATGGACCATCACTGCCCTTGGTATGTCCCTTTGATTTATTTCTCTCCTCAAAAGGGTCAAAATTCCATGAAAAGAGAGATCTCTTAAAAGTAGTAAGGGATCATGAGAAATCAATTCAATAGCTTCTAGATGACGCAAAGAAGAATAATATAAGACTGATAGGAGTCCTCGAAAAAGCAGGAGAAAGTACAAATGACATAAAAGGGTCAAAATTGCTAAGTATGGCCACTTTCCTAAGCAGAGTTGTAACATGCCTATTTCGGTCATCATAATTCACTGGGCTTTATATTTGTGTTGGGGGAAAATGAAGAATAAATATACTACCAAACTTATGGTAATGAATTTCTGGAGTCACAAATGTAGTGGTCTCCTACCCATTAACTTTGGCAATTAAGCATGGTGATGAAATACAACAAAGTATTTCTCCTCTTCTACAGTATGTAATTCATTTCCCTTTCTATGATGTTTGAAATATTCTAAGTTGTTAAATTCAGCAGTTCTCCAAATTTTATATGTCTGACCCAGAGTACCAGTGTGAAATCACCTAATTACAAAGAGAACATGCCACACGTGGATCAAGCATAGCTGCTAAGAATTTAATAAGTATTTAGTAACCATGATCCAGGTTTGCTTGGGGGTGTCAGGAACCAATCCAGAGCTACTAAAGAAACCAAGTGTTTCTGTGGCTGTAGATAAAATGAGAAACAAGTGAGAGGTCAACTTTTTTCCATGCTGTTCTTTTTTTTTTTTGTATTAAATTCTTTTATTGGTACATTGTAGGTATACAACACAATTACATTTCTCATTGGGAATTGTACCTTTACATGATGCATCTTGGTTCTTATTTTTTCCCCATTCCTAGCCCTCCCTTCATGCCCTCCACCCTTCCCTATTTACAAAGACTTTATTTCCATTTTTTCCATTTCTCATCATTTTTCCTTTCCCTTCTTTCCGTTCCCCTGTCCCTCCCACTACCCCTACCCCTTTGGACCTATTCTTCCTATTTTACATTATCGATTATTCATTCTAATCATTGGTACATTTTAGGTATACAACATAATGACATTCATCATTGGAAATTTGCACCTTTACATAGTCTCTCTTGGTTCTTATTTTTCACCCTTGCCCAGCCCTCCCTTCAACCCCTCCATTCCTCCCTATTTACAAAGATTTTGTTCCTATTTTTCCATTTTCTCATATTAATCCCATTCCCTTCTATCCTTTCCCCTAGCCCTCCCACTTCCTTCCCCTTTGCCCCTTATTAAGAGACTTCTGTCTCTGTTGGGCTTCTGCCTAACACATCATGAAACAGCAGGACTAACATGCTTCCATTGTTTAGTCTACTTATGTGTCAGTGTATTCTCAATCAATAGGTCCTGGTTTCAAATTAATTTTTCTGTTGTTTTTTTTTTTAGGGTTAATAACTGCATTGGATTTTCCAACTACAAATTCTTCCTCCAGTTCTTAGCTTACTCCGTTCTCTACTGCCTGTATATTGCTACAACAGTCTTCAGCTATTTCATCAAATACTGGAGAGTAAGTTTAAAAAAAAAGTTCTAAAGGTCCCCCTCTGAACAAATGCACACTTACTCTAGTACATGATATTATGCCCCTATATCTTTTCACATTTTGAAATAGCTAATACTGGAATAACCAGAAGGAAAGACACTTGAATACGCTGAGATTTAAGAAATAAAGATTTTAGTTAAACAAGTTCCTGTCATATATGACAATCTTGCTAATACTTTCAGAAATCTAGCCTCTTGATTCCTACTGATTCTTCTGCCATTGAGCTTTAAAAACCTACTTCTTACTAGTTACATATTTGAAAAATGCTGAAACTAATTCTAAATCTGTAGTTTCTCAAAAAAAGACTAACAAAGCACTCTGCTGTTAGAAAATACTTCCTAATTCCACGTTCAATGGAGAATTGTAATATTTCTACTGGAAATAATGACACACTGACCCACCTTTACATATGACCAAAATGAAATGGAGAGTCTTTTTTGAACTTTTTGTGACAAACACTGAGTTCTGAATTAGGCAAACCAAGATCTAATACTCTGTTACCTGCTTCACTGGCTCATTACCAAGATCAAATGAAACACGTTGAAAGTGCTTTTCCTTTCAAAATGTGATTTTAATAATTATAATAAAATCTCACTTTGTTTCATCTTTTTTCTACTTGGAAATATCAATCATATCTCATTTATTAAAAAAAAATAAAGTTAAAGCAGATTTCCCATTTACATATATGTACAGGGACTGGCAGAAGTATAAAGAAATACATTCTTTTATATTTTATGACAATGGATTCCAGAAGATATCCCTTCCCCATAACTCCAGTACAGTTATTAATATAGCCATGATGAGGGCTATCCAAACTAAACCTAAATAATAAAAGATAAATGAGGCCACATCTAAAAGCTATTACTTTAAGAATTACATAAGAACCTGTATAGTAGGAATGGCTCACCTAAGCTAGAGAAGTGAAACAACAAGGAAAGAAGATTAATTCTATGGCAAGACTATAAATTGTAATAAACAAGAAAACACAAAAAAGACAAGTCAGTGAGAAACTAAATAGCTGAAAATATTTAAATTATAAATAAGTGTTTTATTTCTACTAGGGTAGAAAATATAGTGTAGATAATTATAATGACATATGTTTTCCATTTTCCCTTCAACTTGCTTAATTGACTCAGGTATTTAACAACCTTAGGAATCAATAATTACATCATAGATACAAAAAATCTTCAATTGAGTGACATAAAGAAAACTACATGCAGAAATAACAAACTTTCCTCATAAATTTTCCATAAATAGAAAACATTTCATCATGACACACATCTTAACATTTCTTCTTTGGCCTCTTTCCATGGTACAAGCTCTATTATCTATTACTCAGTTTTCCATGACCTGTTTGGCATTCCATCCACATGTTGAGCTGCTATTATAAATGTGAAAAGTAATCTGCTACATCCAGTCATCAGGCGAAGTCAGCTTTGATCTTTACTACAGACCTTTCTCAGTCCTTAACACAGTAGGCCACTGTTTAAGAACCACCCTTTACCCTCATAACAAAGTAAACACTATTGCATTTCACCCATTTTACCATCAACCACCCTAGTCAACCAGTAATCAAATACCACAATGCCATCCAGGTGCTGTGTGTTTTATTTCATTCTTGAAGACAGTTGGTTATGAATTAATCACCAGAAATATGCCAGGATTTGCAAGCAATATCAGGGGTGAATATAGCCCTATCCTTTGCCTATTCCCTCAGTTTTTCTCCACAATAGCCTAGCTCATGCCTGACGTGTGAGAGAAGAAGAAACCTGTCTTGGTTTGCCCTCAAATTGAAAATGGCATTGACAGTTCAAGGAAATGCTTCTTTGCAGTCCCTCCAGCCAAGGAACACTTTAGTGAGGTTTACAAATGGATTTCTCAGTTTAAATTGAGTCTCTCCTTAAAATAAAAAGTAAACACTGTGATGTATTTTAAAAGCCATGTATCAAGGAGACCAGCTGCACTTCTAAGAATAGCTACCTCTATTTGTATGGTACTTTACAGTTTTTGAAGTACTTTCAACCCATTACTTTTTCTGATCCTCATCACAACCCCCTGAAGTAGACAAAGGAGGAATTATTCCTCTCATTCAAAGATGATGACACTGAGGCTCATAATGGCCAAGTGACTTTCCCAAGATCACCTAGTTTGTAAATTTCAAAGTCAGGAGTTGAACCCAAGTCTGACCCTAAGCTCAGTGATCTTACATATTGTACCATGTTCTACTGCCCATTTTGGTCCTACTGTGGAGAAGCTTTACCACTTTTGGGATAAAGACTGCAGAAGGCCATGAGACTGTTTCTTTCCTCTCAGTGTGAACAATTGCTAACTTTATAGGAGACTGATCTTTACTTACCACACCAGGGCCATGAATCTCCTAACAGTGGCTATGAATTATTTTAGAAACCTGACAATAGTATTATTCTATTAATTTTCTGAACTGACTCTGATGATTATTGCTTCAGTAATTTAGCTTGATTATCTCTTGAGAAAGTATTTTTGAACATAGGGCTATCACCCTCTTTAAACAGAAAATTTTTCGTATTAAGAACACTATTAAGGGACAACATTGTAGATATGCTTTAGTAGACAGAGAGTTCTGAAATAGTAATTAGGAGGGAAAATAGCTTCCAGCTACACAAGATGTGGACTGACTTTATGTCAGTCCCACTTTCCCAGCCATTTCATATTGCCCATTTAAATGTGAAAATTAAGAAGTAAAATTAATGTGAGTTTTTAAATGGTTTTATAAACTACTAAAAAGGTACAAATTATGAAACAAAATCTCAGTGAAGACAAAACCACTGTAAAGCAGTATCTAGAATCTTAACTATGAATTCAAAAGAAAACAATCTAATCTATTTTGAGTGCATAGGCAAAGATATTGTGAAAGAATTATTTCAAAAAGGACTGTTTCAGATAAAGATTTCTGAAATCCTTGAGGAAGCTATTTCCCAGCCTGCTCGGCACCCCACAGAAATTTCACCTAGCCTTCCGCTCAGCTTAAAGCATCTGACTCATTTACTTCCCCTGATCTTCATCCTTCAAACATATATACCCTGGAAGATTCTCAATATTGTCTTACATAAAAATGTATTAAAATATCCTCTCATCTGTACAATCTGAACTTGTCAAGTGTTCCCACACATTAACTTTCTACTCTAAAACTGGAGAAAAGGATCAATTGGAAGTTAAAGTCCACTTCACTTAAGAATAACTTTTAATTTTATTACTGGAGAACATTTGAAAATAATTCAGAGTAATTCATCATGCTAAAACAGTGATCATTGGAAAGGAGGAAGTAATTAGTAGTTATTCTTTCAACTGCTTACTTGAAAATTGAAAATGTTTTCTAAAATTCTCTTCAGAAGACAAACTATTACATGCTATACACAATAAAGAACCTTCCAACATTCATTTTATTCTATAATTGCAACTTTAAAAAAGCTCATACAACATGGAAACTAAGGTCCTAATTACTGTAAAAATCTCTAGCCATCTACTTTTACAGCTTCATGTAATATTCTGCTTGATTTTTTTGCTGTCTAAACAGCTATTATATAGGATGTAAGATACCAGCACATTCCACTTCAGTTATAAAAAATAACCACATAAAATTTGCGGCAGCTTTAAAATTAAATCATAACTTCAGGTGGAACATTTTAAAATTTTACGTATGTGTTTTAACTTTCTACATTCATCACTGTGACATTTTCAACACACGTATGTCCAAGGAAATATGACATAAATAATTCCAGAATAACCTGCCAAGAAAATGAACCATATGACCTCATAATTACTTCCAACCAGTGATTCATAATTTTCAAACAAAGTGGAATACAGGCTTTATATCACCATGACCTTGGTGTATACTTTTCACATTACCCTTTTCTATATTGTATACCCTATTTTATACTGAACTGCACACTTAAGCAAGGATCCATTTTAGGTTTTGTAGGCTAAGTGCATATCCATAATGAGGTATCATCAACAGACAGAACAATATAAAAATTTTACAAAATCTATTTTTTAAATTATAGCTAATGTTTTATACACATGCAAACCTATATAGAAAAATTAGTTAAGCTTTACCACTTTAATCTTTTGTTTTGTTTGTTTATTATTTCTTTTCTAGGGGGAATTGCCCAGTGTTCGCTCTAAGTTCCATGTCCTTTTTCTCCTCTTTGTGGCCTGCATGTTTTTTGTCAGCCTTGTGATTCTATTTGGTTACCATTGTTGGCTTGTCAGCAGAAACAAAACTACCTTAGGTAAGAATGAATATTAAGAGTAGGGAAAAACACATTAATGTATATTAGATTGACCTGTGGGCTGCTCCCAAGTAAGAGAAGAAATTTCTAATGAAGTATTTTAACTGTGTGATATCTCTTTGCCTGCAAACTGGGATAGATGAAAATATATATAGTGAATGAAGCTTACAGACCCAAGAGAGCATTAGTGAATGCTGTTTATAATGTGTATGGAGTAATAGCTCTCCAGTTTCACAACTCAAATGGTACTTAAAGGATGAAGTAAAGAGAAGAAACAATAGAGAAGGTAAGAATCAGTAGAGAAGGGAACATTAAAAGGAAAGCATGCAGGTCAATAAAGATAAAAGAATCTATTTTATTGAACACATCCCAAAACAGAATCCTAAGAAAGAATCCAAATCAATAATGAGAACTCAGAAGTCTTAAAAGGAATCATCTCTTTGAATATCTACATTCATCAAGAAGCTATGTAGGGACTCTACGAATGAGATAAACACATTGAACATGTAAGTATCTAGAAAATAAGTACAGGAAATAAACATTTTTTGCTGCCAATTACTCAGTTCTCTAGGCTTGTTATTATCTGGAATAGTATATTTCTGCTGGATTCCAGTGCAATAATTTTTTGATCTTTGGTGAAATAGATATTTAAATTGTCCACAAATCAATACACAAGGAGTGAGGAGAAACTTTTCAATGCTGAATGTCTAACCAGGATAGATTTGATGCAAAAGCATCAAATGTTTGGTGCAAAAGCCATTGTACTTTAAGAATTCATTTGCTGATAACGCAGGTAGATGTGAAAGTATTGGTACCCATTTTCTAAATGGAACAGCTATGTAGCACTTGGTTGGTAGGGTGGTAAATTAACACATTTGGCTTAGAGATGAGTTACAAAGTAGAAAAGTACTTAAAGCTTCATGATAACAGGGTCTGAAAGGAAAGAACAAATGGGAAATGGTCAGACACAGAGTCCAACAGTGAAAGTGTTTGCTTAATGGGATAAAAGTGTGTCTAAAAATAATGTGAATTAATGTAGCCCAATTTCACATAGCCTTTGAGGTGATTATACCTCATCCATTGACATTTTATCAGAAGTAAAACTTAGTTTCTTACGTTGCAGGCTTCAGTATGAACATTTTCATCTCTAAAATGTTTCAAAACCAAATCAATGTCATTACCATCTCTTTATGTGCCATTACTTTGGTCCCAGCTTTACAGATGGAGACCATTTGGCTATTGTTGCCACTTAGATTCAAATAAAGTGCTGTGAAATCTGTTCCTTCACTCCTTAAATCCAGCAGTACAAATACATACTATTCCTATGGCTGCTTAATTATTTCTACTGTCATGTGTTTCTCTTGCCTTTTTTTAAAAAAAAGAACAGTAATTCTTTATATTGAATAAATTTACATTTTATTATGTTATTGAACTAATTTTTATTATGTAGTTTAGTGATAACTGAGACCGAGGGGCCTATACTAACACAGCAAAAAGATATAAAACCAAGTCACATTGGTGGAGAATTTTAAAATCGTGACTATGCTGAAATTTGTTCCTTTTTTGCTTTTTTCCTCTTTTCTTCAACTTTCCTACCCTGTCCTAGAGGCCTTCTGTACTCCAGTGTTTACAAGTGGCCCAGAAAAAAATGGATTCAACCTTGGCTTCATCAAAAATATCCAGCAAGTGTTTGGAGATAATAAGAAGTTCTGGTTAATACCTATTGGGTCAAGGTAGGTAATTATTACCATTGAAAGAGGTTAATGCTAGACCATTCCTTGAAGCAAAAAATTCAATTATGATTATAGTATGCAGCAATTCTAATATTGTTACAGCAAAGTGTGACAGCTCAGCATTACAGCCAAGTGTCACAGTTCTGCGTTAAGCCAAGTTGTATGGCTATCCAAAGGTCTCTGGAGGCAAAGAATTTAAGCAGTACTCAGAAAGATGAAGGGAAATTTTATTGTGCTCATGGGCTCAGAGGAATATGTACTCTGAAGTCTAAGCCCTGTACAGAAATGGAAACAACCTTATATAGAGATCTATGGAGTAGGGGGTGGGCCCACCTACTGGGTGAGCATGCTCATTGAGGTAGATGGGTGGAGTTAACAACATTCTTGAAACCTTAGGTAGAAACATGCAGCACAGTTACATTGCTTGAACAGAACATTTTGATAACACTGGGCAAAAACATCACTCAGCACAAACAGTTACATTGCTTGAACAGAATATTTTATGGCAAAAACATTGGGGAGGGCAAAGGCCTGCTCTATTGTACAATATTTCCTTATCAATATGACAGTTCATTCTCCAAGTTTTCCATTTCTCAGTTAGTAAAAACAAATCATGAGGCTATTCCATTTCTAGGTCAGTAAAGACTCTCTTTACTTAAATATCCAATAATATAAGAATGGGTGAATAAAAATATATAAACACAAGATAGAATATTATGTAGTCAATAGTAGTAGTTATAAAGATGATGTTACAATAAGGGAAAATGCTTACTGTATTTTAAATGAATAATGTAAAATCCAAAATGGCATGCATACTGATTGAAAATATGAACAAATATATACAGAAGAACAACAAGAGAAATATACCAAAAACTCCTAAAAGTTGTAAGGGCTACAGTTTTAAAAATTATTTTTCTTTTCTCTATTTTTCATATTTGGAGTTAAATACTAATATTAGTTTTATGAAGGAAAAATTTAAAAGCAAAAACAAACAGTTTGATTTAGAGATTGTACATAATTCTTATGACTGCAACAGGAATGCAGGGAAAGCAATGAATGAGAAATGAGGAGAGCCAAGTAATCTTGTGTCCTCTGAGTCCACCATCAACTAAACTACCTCTGGAACAGAGCCTCTTTATAGCCTTTTTGCATCCCTTTAGATTCAGTCTCAGACAGGGATACAGTCATGTTCACTTATTTGAAAAAACTTTGCTGAGGTTGGATAGTAATTAAGGAAAATTTTCTTCTCCCCTTCACTCATTGCCCTGATACTTCCCCTCTACCAGTTAGTGTTTTATAGGCTCAATTGTGTAAAATGTGATATACTGTACTTTCCTGAATATAAATCACAAGACAAAGCAATATCACTGGGTGATGTTGATTAATAGCTAGTACCAACAATTATCTACACCCTATTCACACACATGTACATGTAATTACTTATATGCAATCACCACATCAAAGGAAGGTCTAAAATGAGTCTTTTTGTGCTACAGGAGACTCATGAAACAAAACAAAAATAAACATAGAATATTCATTTGAAAACAGTATGCTTAAATTCTCTATAGAAAACTATCACTAAAATCTATTCATGTCCAATTAAGCACATTCATATACAAGAGGAAAGGCATAGGTAATATCAGATGAATAATCCAAAGTCCACTCATGTTTAACTTTGGAATGCATTCAGATATATAGATTCAAATGTTCAAACTATAACCCTGTATAGCCAGGACCACTGCAATTCCTCCCAATGCATAAAATCTGTTAATGGCCAGAAATTAACCAAGGAAGTAACCATAACTTGCCATAGACAGCCACAAAGTAGGCCCACATTTGAATAATTGCAAATCTGTCCTCTATAGAAACCTCGCTTTTGCTCTTTCCCCTGGTTCCTAATAACCTTTCTGCTATACAAGCCCAATGAATAATAGGGCACTTGGACATTATCACCAATTCACAGCAGCTTATCTCTACTATATTCAATGATTCTGAGTTTGCTCATCTTCCCTGAAAATTTAGAATGAAAACAGTAAGACTAGGCCAGGGATTTAGCTCAGTGGTTTCCCCGCCTGCTGCGCAAGCGCAAGGACCCAAGTTCGATCCCCAGAACCAAAAAAAAAACAAAACAGTAAGACAATGGGACATAAATTGGGATCATCATCACTAAATGATACTCATGAAGCTTGCTATATGGACATATTACTATGCTAGGCTTTGGGGAAAGCAAGTTAAAGAGTTTCTTACAAACACAATCAATACCAATGCAGATATGGAAATTGATAACAATACAGCAACTAATGTAGCTATCATAAGAGCCTATTTCATCATGACTTTTGTCAATAAGCCTAAATATTCCTAAGAATCCCTCTGCTATTCCTAAGAGGATAATTACTTTCATAAAAGGCTGTTTAGCTGCAAAATCTCACTACCTTTCTCTCCTCACCAGTCCTGGCGATGGACACTCCTTCCCTATGAGGTCCATGAATGAGTCACAGAACCCACTGCTAGCAAATGAAGAACTCTGGGAAGATAATGAGGATGATAATCAAGGTAAGTGGGCTGGGAAAGAAGTATTTTCTCCACCCAGCAGAGCAAGCACTATAAGACCCATGTTAACACAACCAATGTAATGTGTAGTGAGTTGTGTCCAGAAAGATTCCATAAGTCTATCAATATTTTACATCCCTCCTGAATGAGAGAGGCAAGTATAGTCAGATTTATTTAGCAAACATGGGTAACTGAGATAGGATTGACTGGCACCTTGGAGGCTCCTTACTAGCTTTGTGATACCATGACTTATAACTAGTCAGGTAAATCGGGAAACATAATAACCAGTGTTGTGAATGTTTATAAACAGTCCTGCCAGGGGGTCACTTATGATGTTTTGGTTGAGTGCAAAGTTTTCATTCAACAAATGAACAACAACTCACCTTTCTGTACCTTCTATTCATATTCATTAAATGTTTTTTAATATTTTATGTTTTAGAATGGTTTAAGTGCACTAGAAGAAAAAAACATATATAGAGATAAGCCTACATATGTATGTGGTAGGCATGAAAGAAACCTAGGGAAGCAGAATGTTTCCCTTCCAACTTTCTCCCATCAGATCATGGGGTTATCTTGAGACTTTTTGTGAAGAGTTGCAAATTTTTCATATCATATATTGAAAAGTTTTCATATCATGTATCTTCACTACTAACCCTATACTTTGTCTTCACCTGATGCTATGCCTACTTCTGTGTCACCAACATTTGCTCATGTTGCTAATTCCAAAGAGTAGATCTTAAATACTGTTCTGAATAAAGGAATAATTGGGAGCAATTTTGACTAGGGACTTGTAATAGTTATCACAAACTACTTGGGATGAATGAGACAGAATGAGGACACAGAAAGGCACTGAGTGGGGAGCAGAGTGAGAAAACAAGGTTTCTGAATTTTTAACCAGTTAGATTATCCAGGCCTGGGTTCTTTCCTAGAAGCCCAAATTTATAGGAAAGCGCTTTTGTTGAGAAAGAAAAACAAAGTAGGCCCAGATTCATCATTACAAAAGAAAATAGTTCCATTCAAAAAATGTTCTAAGACAAGGAACACCCTTATCTCCTCCTGCTGATGACGAGAAAATTGACTGGACCATCTTCAGCCTTCAATCTTTCTGAAGACATTTACTTCTAGCAGTCACAAGTGATAATAACTCTTATTTTGGTATTAAGAAGCCCAAATTCTAATAGATTTCTAATAGAAATTACAAATTTATCAAATTTCAACCTAGTTTGAAATAAATCCAGAATGGAAAAATCTTCATATCTGAGCCTTGGTTTGTTAAGGAGAATAATTTAAGTTTAAGTATAGGACCACATCAGAAAGAGGTTACTTTTTTTGAAGCAGTCTCCAATTCCTGACTTTTAAAAAAATGTTCCATCATGAAAGTTTGTATATCCTGTTATAAAGCACTTTCATATGCTATCCCCCCATCATTTGACCTTCACAACTGTCATAATAGGTAGACATTATTAATACTAACCTCATTTTATAACTGAAGAATTGAGATTAAGAAATGTTAAGAAACTTATCCAAAATCCTATAGCAAGGAATGGGCAGAACTTGGACTCAAAGTATTCCAATTCCAAATCCTGAATTTTTTCCAATATAATGTGTCTTAGTTACTTTTCTCATTGCTAAGACAAAATACTCAATGCCCACAAGTTAAATGAGGAAAATTTTATTTCAGCTCACAGTTTGTAGAGGTTTTAGTCTATAGTTGGCTGGCTCCAAAGCAGGGTGGCATAGCAGAGAGACGTTACAGAGGAAAAACAGTCCATGGCAAAGCAGCCACAATCAATATTCCTTAGACAGTGAATTTAACAGAGACATTGACAAAAACTGCAGCAGCAGAGCAATGTCTTTTTCCATTTATGTGTTAATTTTCTGCTACTGTAACAAAATATCTTAGGTAATAAACTTATAAAGAGAAAAAGTTTACTTTTGGCTCACAGTTTTGGAGATTCCAGTCTTTGATCCATTGGCCCCATTGTTTTGGACCTGTGGTGAGGCACTATATCATAACAGGAGTATATGATGGAGCAAAACTTCTCACCTCATGGCCAGTAAGCAAAAGGAAGAGGGAGAGACAGAGCCCACTGTCCTCCTGAAGGGTATGCCCCCCTTTAGTGACCTAATGATCTCCTACTAGATCCCACCTCTTAAAGGTTCTACCACATCTCCATAGCACCACCTTAGGGATGATACCTTTGACACATGGACCTTTGCAGGACATTTAAGATGCAAATTATTACACAAAGGAATAATTTTTCTATTTTATAATGTTTTCACTTATTATTTATTTTGTTGTAAAAATTTAGGATGTAAAACATGATGGGTTTGGGGTTTTTTTTGGTCTGGGGATCGAACTCAGGACCTTGCACTTTTGAGACAGCCAGCAGAACCACTGAGCTAAATTCCTGGCCCCCATGATGTTTTGATATACATAGTGAAATGATTACCACAGATAAGCAATTTAGCATATACATCATCTCATAGTTTCCTTTTTCAGTGGGAAGAGCACCTAAAATCTACACTCTTAGAAAAGTTTCTAGTACACAGTACAGTACTATTAGCTATAGTACTTATGCTGCACTTTAGATTTCTAGATTTATTCATCATATATAACTGTCTATATCAGTCAGTACTTACGAGAGAAACAGATTTAATGCAAGATGTGTGAATACATAAGGATTTACAAGATTGGCTTACTTGGCCACTCACAGAGTCAGGTGTGAAAATGCAAAAGAGATGTCTGGGCACTGGAAAGCCGAAGGATCCAGTCAAAGTTAGAAGGCCTGGAGCTCACTATAGTGTCCTGTGCAAGTCCCTACCAGGAGGCCAAAGGGTCTGTGCTGGAAGCTGAAGACTCTGCACTGCAAAGCTGAAGAGTCTGCACTGGAAGCCAGGAGATGGCATGCAAGGAGAAGGTGAAGAAGGCTGGAGCTCCCCTGAAGAAACTGAAACAAGTTTTCTTTGTTTCCTTTTATTCCATTCTGGTTACAAGCCTGTTGGTTGGTGCCACTCACATCTATGGTGGGTCAAGAAGCCTTTTCCCTATTTCTTCTAGGGATTTTATTGTTTCAGCTTTTATCTTAGTTCTTCTATTAATTGTGAATTGATTTTTTTATATATGATGTAAGATAAGTTTCTGCTGCTCTAAATGCCTGTTTTATGCCAATTCCATACTGATTTTATTATTATAAGTTTGTAATATAATTTAAAATCAGGTAGTGTGATGCCATCAATTTTGTTTTCTTTCTGTGAATTGCTTTGGCTATTCAGGATCTGATGTGGTTCCACACAAATTTTATGATTGTTTTTTCCATTTGAGAAAGATGCCACTGGAATTTTGATAGGGGTTTTATTGAATGTGTAGATTGCTTTGGGTAGTACAGAAGTTTTAACAACATTGATTCTTCTAATCCATAAACACAGGATCTATTTTCAGTTATTTATATCTCCTTCAATTTCTTACATAATTGTTTCAAATTTTTTTCATTAAGTTTATTGATACATTTTAGGTATACAATACAATTACATTCATCACTGGGAATTTGTACCTAACACACAAATCTTTCATCTTCCTGGTTAAATTTATTCTCTCTCACTGCTAGGCCATGCTAACTTAGGTGATGGGACTGCAGGCAAAAAGAAACTGGCCTTCCTAACTGTCATGTGATGACTCGTGGGTTGTTTCTTCATTGTATGGCTACAGATTTTTAAGTGAACGAATACCTGATATCTTCCAGAGTCATTTTCATTCATTAGTAGCTGCCAAATGCTGCTCTTTGTCAGAAGAAAGGTCAGGGTCTCCTGTTCCACCATCTTGGTAGTGTTATCCGTAATTAACAGCCATGATCAAATAATAATATTAGCTCACTCTAGATGTTATTATCCAGAAATACTTGAGGGTAAATAGGAATACAGTCCACTTATTGGGAAAATTTACTCTAAGATCTTACCAAGGAGGCTAAGAGGTTTGCTTTCACATTGACTCAAATAAGCAACTTTAAGTGACCTAAAGTCCTCATGTTTGAGTTCTTGCACAGAGAAAAGTCAATTGAACTATATAACTATATAATATTGTCATTAGCTAGACAACATCTTTCCATAACATTCTCCCCATAAGATTACTCTCTTAGGTGTGTATTTACCCCAACTATAAGAAAACGTGAATGATATGAATGGTAGCCATAAAACTTCTTAAAAGTTTAGGCTTGACCCTGGTATAGTCAGAACTTCCCAAGGAAAGTTGTTCTAGAGTTTACAGGGAACTTCTTAGTTTTTTCTATATTCTAGGACAAACCTAAATTTATAGTGATCTGCCTTTCAATGATTTCCTTGCCTTGACCCACAAGTTGGAGTCTTCAAAACAAGATTACTAAGAACATCTATTTCATGGTTATTTGACAGGAACTGAACTTAGTTTTAGCTTGATATAAGTGCCAAGGTTATCATTTTCCAATTGTAATTACATAGCCTCTATCTATTAGGCTAAGTTATTTTATTTCCTAGTGTCTTAGTTACTTATTCTCATCGTTGAGACTAAATTCCCAACACCCAAAGATAAAGGAGGAAAGGTTTATTTTTGGCTCACAGTTTGTTGAGGTTTCAGTCCATAATTAGCTGGCTTCAAGGCAGGGTAGCATGGCAGAGGGGCATCGCAGAGCAGACAGGAGGCAGCAGAAGACAAGCGGCAGCAACAGAAGCAGCAGTAGCAAGCAACAGCAGCAGCACCATTTCTGTCCCTTATATTCCATCCAGGCTACCCTCCCTTAGGGTGGGTAACACTCACACCCAGGTTAGGGTACCCTTAATACTAGCATCATACCATTAATCCCAGCATCACATCCTTAATCTCAGCACCACATACCCTAGATATACCCACCTCCAAAAAACCTCACCTATGACTGCATGAGGATTTGGGGGGACACTTATGTACAAGCCATACCACCTAGTAAAGAAGTTTAAACCAATTCTTTTCTTTTTTCTCACCTAGTGCTTCAATT